TCTTGCAGCGGGGGCTTTCGATTTCATTTCATCATCGTCGGCAGCGGCAGCGGAGGATCTTTGGTAGTTCATCATACAGAAACCACACCTCAAAAATGGGCTCAGGGAACAGCCCCAAGTAGGGCCGATGTACTGCTGGCGTTGTGATGAAGGTAATCGGGGTGTCTGCTGCGCTCCTGCAAGGTAGTTCGCAATATCTTGAGGTCGTTCATCCTGCTGTGGACACGGCGCACTCACGTCGAAACCACGAAGCCCATTTGGCAGTACTGGCAGTGGCGGTTGGTGTGGCCAGCTTCCCCGCAGTGGGAGCATAGTGGTCGGTGGTTGTGAGCACGCCAAACGTCAGTTTTCCTCGGCGTGTATCGCTGGCCGGTGGGTGGGCAGTATGTTGACGGTGAGGGCAGCAGTGGGGTCTAGGTAAAACAGTGGCGTCTTGGCGTGAGTGTGGAGAAGGAGCGTGACGTGGGGCTGCTGCAGTGTAGCTCACGGCTTGCAGCGATAGCTGGATCTCTTGGCGTACAAAGTCAGCGATGGGAGCCACTTGAGGCTGTGCTGAAGGTAGCAATTTCCCCAGCTGCTCTTGCACAATTGCTTGGATCATCTCATGCAGGTCGGTGGTTTCTAGAACCGAGATGTGCCTGCGTAGCGTGTAGCCGAGAAGTTGCGGTTCTATTGCCGTGTCCCCATCTCGAGCGTCTTTTTAATTGCAGATGCTTCTGAAGCGAATCGGCGACAGTCTTCGGCGGGTTCCTGATTAATCCGGCGAAGAGTTCTTGCTTGATAACCCTCATAAGATAGCTCACTTTCCTCTCTTTGGTCATGGGGGGTTGGTGTCCCAAAGCAAGCTGGTCATTTTTTCCATGTAGATCGCAATATTTTCATTGGGAAGCTGCACATGTGTCTCCAGGATTGTAGCGGCACGTTCCTTCTGGACGACGCTCGTGAAGGTGCCTAGGAACGTCGTCTGAAAGAGGTCTTAGGTTCGGGGTGTCAATTCTCGGTTCTCGAACCATGTCCTCGTGGCGTCTTCTAGGTAGGAGTAGAAGTGGTCAAGTTTTTCCTTAGAGTCCCAGCTGTTAAAGGCAGCAATTCGGTCGAACCTTTTAAGTCAGCTTTTCGGTTCTTCGAGTGGCGAACTGCAAAAAGTTGGCTTGGTTGCTGGAGCAAGATCAGTTCAGGTGGCACAAGCCCTGTCAGTGTCACCGTGGCCGACGTAAAGGTCTTCGTCTTCTGAGTATTGTCGGGTAGATGCGCGTACTCCAGTAGAAGACCTTGTTGCCTACGGGTGAGTCGTTGGCGTTGGTGACTTCTCCGTAATGATGGCTGGGTTCACTGCTTGATGAGGGTGTCCAGGACATGAAAGAAGCAGCACCGCCACCAAATGTCACAGGGTCCTGACGCTGATGAAGGTAGAGACGGCTTGTCCTCAATGAAACTCTTTATTTGACCGAACTTGCGGCCAGTGAACTGAAAGTCAGATTACAGCGATTTACACTGGCACTGATGGCACTGAACAGAGCGTCAATCGTCGATCAACTGACAAGTGGTGAAGCGCGTGGGCATTTATACATGTGTTGCCAAATATTCCAGCCTTATCACTGGTTTTCGTGCAAGCTCTGGAATACTCTCGGAGTGTGCAATCTTAACAGAACAATCTACAATAGTCATGAAATCTTCTTGAACAATGAGGTGTAGGTTGCGCTGAGCATTCCTGACAGGCTTTGTGGGCAGAAACCGAATGAAGCAATGGAAAATAAGAAATGTGCATGGGATTATTTCATTAAACTGCAATTACAGCCAATTAAAATAATGGTCAAGGGTATCATTAGTTGGCTTTAATCCTTTATTACCCAAGCACACAGTGGACCTATGAAGAGCTGCATGCATGAATTGTATAGGCAAGTTTTGTATAAAGATGCAGAAGCAATTTTATTGCGATAGCAATTATTTTTTATTATTTTTTATTTATTAATACTGTCAACCCTCGCTTGAGGGTCATAACAGGGAGGGAATACAATAGTAAGTAGAAACAGAAAACCAAAACAACTGGCACTCAAATAGCAATGCACACAAGAAACCGAAATTGGCTCTAGTTCAATTCAACCATGACCAAAATAAGCATCGATTTCTCTGTCAAAAGATTGCACATTGGTACTATTAAAAACATGATGGGGTTCCTGATTCCATTGTTCTTTAGCATCAGGAAAAAATGACCACCGAAAGATGTCAGTGCAAGCGTTGAAAGGTTTAATGGGAGCGTCATAATTCAATCTAGCGCTACGTTTTCGGGAAGGCGTATGTACTCATATTTAGGTATTTTTTGTTATCCCTTGCATTATACGATATAACGTTTCAAGTTTTTGTTTTTGTCTTCGAATTTCCAGTGGTTCTAAATTGCGTGAATTGAACGTGTCAGTTACTAAATCCCGCCTTCTATATCTAGAGCATACAAACCGTACTGCATGCCTTTGAATACGTTCTAACTTAGTAACTAAGTGTTTTTGGTGAGGGCTCCAAACCATGGAGGCGTACTCCAGTCTGGGTCTAATATATGTTTGGTATGCAAGCAGCTTAACGTGTTGCGGTGTTCTATGCAACTTCGAAGATAACAAAGTTTTTTAAATGACCCGGAACAAACTGATTCAATATGACAGTGCCAAGTTAAGTTGTTTGTAATTGTCACCCTTAAGTATTTAAAATATATTGTTTCACAGAGGGTGTTGCTCCCAATGCTGTATTGAAATTTGAGAACATTTTTCTTATTGGTAATGTGTACATAAGTTGTTTTTTTTAGGGTCAATTTGCATATCCTATTCACGACACCACAATTCCAAGTCTTCAAGGCACTTGTTCAACTCAAGCTGATTATCAGTATAGCTTACAGGCATATAAATCAAACAATCATCAGCACAAAGTTTCATCTGAACAGGTGGCTTTACAATAGTACTTATATCGTTGATGTACAATAAAAACAACAGCGGGCCAAAAACGGACCCTTGAGGCACACCTGAAAACACATCTAGCATAGCTGAAAGACAACCATCGATCCTCACTGCTTGCTTGCGGTTACTCAAGTATGCTCCAATCCAATTTATATCATCACTGAATCCCATTTTTCTCAGTTTAAAAAGCAGCTTAGTGTGATTGACAACATCAAAAGCTTTAGCAAAATCAATGCAAATTACATCAACCTATTTGCGTTCTTCTGTAGCCAAACTGAAATCATTAATCGTTTGAATCAACTGTGTCACTGTAGACTTGCCGCTTCTAAATCCATGCTGACAGTCATTAAGTAATTGATTGACCTCCAAGTGAACCATGATATACTTTGCTATAATATGCTCTATAACCTTGCAGCAAACGGACGTGAGTGACGAATGATAGTTGCTAATAACCATTCGGTTGCTGGCTTTAAACAAAGGTATGATAATTGCGAAGAGCTAATCCTGTGAAAGAGAGTGAGTTTCTAAAGATTTTTCGAAGATAATAACAAGAAAGAACGATATTCATTCTGCGTATCTTTTCAGAAAGACAGTTGGTATTTTGTCCGGGCCACTAGTCTTTTTTGGATCCAGATTTAGTAACCGAGAAAGTACGCCTTTTTGGTCAAATAAGGGTTCCATAGGACATGCGCATGAAGAATGCACGTTGCTATCACTGCGCACATCTGACGGCATCGTGAACACCGACTGGAAAAACCTGTTGAACTCGTCTGCTATCTCAATCTTTTGCGTCACTATTATCGATCCGGCAGTGATGTGTCCAATTTTTTTTTATCTGTCAATATTGACATATGGTGAATTCTTGCTGCTGCTTTAATATTCTAGTTAAGTATATGTGTGTATGCATATATAAATAAAAGCCCCAAAAATATTGAACTGCAGAAAAGAAAATGCAAAATACACCACTGTTATTTGAAACTGTGACCCCTTGCTCCACACCCTGCCAAGTTATACAACTCTGCTAGATGGCCCTTGTTCTTTGGAGTGCTAACAGTGAGAATTTATCGCAGGCAGGACACGCTCTGGCATGTTCAATACCACCTGCGAGATGGTATGAAAGGCTTGCTGTAAATCCTAGATTTTGTTTCAACTGCTTTTCAGGCGTGCGACCGATTTCTCTGCCCATTCACAATGTAGATTACTGGGCAAGCAACGCTTTAAATGCCGCATGATGCAGGAAATGCAGAGGGGTTACACCATGCACCACAGTGCTCAACAAAGGATAACACATAGAAGTAACAAATGTAGCTGTTATCCTGTGTGTACCCGTCTATTCTTTTGGAGCATCCTGCTCTGTGTTTGAGCAGCGTGGTGCGAGTATAGGGCTGTGACAGTTGATAGTTCGCACTTGTCTTGTGTGTGTGCGTTTCATGTGCTAATCACGCTTGAGGGATGCTCTGCAAGTATTGAGTTGCATCTCGTTTATCGTGCGTCATTATAATTTGTTGCTGTTGCATTAATTGCTTCACCTTTGTGGCAAAACTGTGACTTTTCTCTTCATGAGGGTCAATTATGACTGTTATAGATGACTACTCGCTTACCATGCTGCAACTCCACATTCGATTTGCAGAGGGACCAGATGTTCTTGTTTCTCAATGGTCATTGTTATACAGTGCAACAGACTGATCGGAGTGGTTTGAGAACCACCGTGGGCTTGAGTTCATACAGGCTAAAGTGGGTAGTCAAGGAAACGCTGTCACATTTAAAATACATGCTGGCACATTCTCTTCTCAAATATTTTTGAAGGCTAGCCACAGATTGGCTAAATACTCGCTAGCATCCATAGAAAAAAAAACTATTGCAAACAGTGATGCATACTGAAGTTAATACGAGCTCTAACTATTCATAGAAAGTATGCAATCAGAAATATATGCTTTTTTTTTACTTTATGTACTCCAAAGGTGAAGCTGTTATGTCTACAATTGGTTGAACTTACATGAGCCAAAAGTGCACTGTAGGTGATATTTATGCCTCTGATGGCTGTGTTGCACTCGCCAGGTGGATGACCCGCTGGCGAGCATCGCCAGTGGTCCAACAGTGCCCAACAAGGATGATCCAGGCCTACCGCTGCGGCTGCTCGACAAGTACCACATCCGGGACAAAGTGCCTCCGGTCGTGGTGGAAGTGCTGGAGCGCGTTGTGTCCCACCTAGATCCACCTATCACGCAGTCCCTGAATGTCCTCATTGGCAACAACAAGGTCAGCTTGCATTTCACAACACAAGAAAAAAGAATGTTGAGAACATTTCAGTTTGGCTTTCAAAAGTGAAATGTGATAGTATCATTGAGCCCCGTTCACACTGTCTTTTCATTCGTTCGTCATAGTTTGTGGCTCACTGCCACACAAAAAAAGAATATCTCTGCATGCTGGTGGCCTTAAAACACTCCTAAGCTTATGCATTAGCAAAGGGCGTAATTTATCATCTTGTGTGAAGCAAGCTCAGCGCACCCGCACAGCAGTAGGGCACCATGGTTCAAGTTTTTTTGCTGATGTCAGCGCTTGCCATTCGCTTGCTAAACTGACGGTAATATCTGACTCTAGCTCGCCTTGCATTCCGCTGTGGTGCACGGGCCCTGCCTTCTTTTTCTCGAGTGTTTATATTCATATAGGCCTCCTTGAAGGCTGTGCTTGCAAAGCTCATGATGCACGTGAAGCCGATCTGTAAATGGGAAAAATGGCGCAAAAAGAAAGGCAGAACAAGCAAAAGAATACCCAAGATGAGGGCCTCTGTTTTATGATTGACGGCACATCTGCAGGAGACTGGTAATTATTAAAATGCAAAGAGCTGGGCTTGTTGGTTGTACATGCCTAAAAACAGCATAAGAAAGGCACAGGATGCACAGAAAGAAAGATCTCACAGCGCTGACTCTTAACAATTTTTTATCGTGAAAACGACATACCTTCTATAAATATAGAAGATAACTACTCCCGTAGTACCACATGACAGGGACATGGCACAGATAGGCTGCCTTCAGCATAACTAAGCTTCTTACGTGGATAATAAAGTTCCATGGGCTATACAGTCAAACCTCAATATATTTAACTCACAAAAAAACGCGTGTCAGTTCGATGTAGGGCATAATTCAAATAAGCTTGCTAAAGAATTGGACGTCATAACCTCACATATCATTCATAAAAGCACTTTCTTGACTAAGCTAGTGTTTTTCAATGTAAACAGCATGAAAAATGAAGACAGACTTTAAAAAATGAATCGCTACCAACTTGCCCAATTTTAAATACTACTAAGCTAGCTTAGTTGTGCTTGAAATAGTCCTCCATTTTTTTCTATTTTAACAACTTTGCTGCCTCAGGCAGCACGCAACTTTGCTGCCTCAGACAGCTGCTCTAAACCTGCTCCAAAACACAGATCCTTCCACTCTTAACATTATGCTTGATAAGCTGTTTTGCCGAAATGCCCTTTTCTTGGCCAGGTGATGTCTCGTGCCGTGTGTCTGTTGGCTCGCCAGACAGGCTACCAGTCGTACCTGTTGACCACCTCACTCGTTGGCGAATCACGCAGTGTGGGCAGGGCCATGGCTCAGCTGGCTTTCTACCTGTGCTACGGGGGCAATTCTGCCGTCCGTGTTGTGCATGACCCTGTCACTGACATTGCCCAGAACCTTCAGGTATCCGCAGTATTTCACTTGACATAACTTGTTGCAGCATGGTGAGGCAAATGAAAATATGCCAAGAGTCTTGGCGCTCCTTGGGTGTGCCAAATCGTGTTTTACTGGTGATGCGGTCTAAGCAGGCACACCAAAAAAATGCTGCAGAAGAAGCATGCATGTTCTTTAAGGAGGAGCTATACATCTCTGCTTACGATATTCAGGTACCAATCACTGCATAGCTGTGCAGACAACAGAGCCGGCTACCTGTTCAGATATACACCACCCATAAGCAGTTTGGTTGACCCGGCTTTTTGTGTGTTGTCCGTGGACATGTGCATGGGGCATGCATGCTTGCGAGTGAATCGAACAGGTGTCGAAGCAACTTGTACGTCGAATTTTGAAAAAAAAAAAAATGTGTTTCTCTGAAAAATCTAATCATTTATCGTGATAGCAGCATGTCTTTGTTATTTATTTATATATACTGCTGTCTCAGTTTTTTTAGACATATAGCAGGTGCTAATACAAATGTTCAGCGCCTTGAAAAAATCTAATTTAGCAAAATTAATCTTTCCACAATTCTTTTTTCCAACTGCTCAGCATCGAGTTTGTGCAGATACCCATCATGCGCATTCCAAAAATGCACACTCTGCAGAAATGTAAAAAGAAAACGAAAACAATCCTGAGTTGATCTAACCGGCAAAATATTTCAAGAAAATGATATGGGTGATAAAACACTCGAACCAACATGAACTATCATACAGGAAGATGACACGATCGCAAGTGTGCCGATGTTCAAGAGGGGCTGCCAGGATTAAACCTGCCGATGTGAAGCAGGCGAGAAACGCTGGTTATAGCAACGAAATATCAGCAGTATTGCTTTTTAAACAGATTATAACATAGTTATGTCACGTTTGTGGTGAGGCGACGAAACATTCGACGCATAATCAAGTCTAACCAAATTCTTACGCGTTGTCAGTCAGCATTTTTTTGTCGTGTTGCTTAACATGCGTTGGAAACACCAAAGTTTTCTAAGAGCTCGTTGCAGATTGTTTTGATGTGTGCGTGCTATTTTAAATTTGCTGTGAGAGTTACACCAATGTATTTAAACTAAATCACTCCTACTGGACTCACACCGTCTTTAGTATATGAAAATGAACAGGCTGTTTCTTATTTGAAAAGGTCAAGACTACAGTCTTTTTGAAGTTTGCCATGTTTTACTCTTGCTACAAAAGGATGAAAAAAAAAAGCACTATTCAACCCATCCTGATCTTGAGATGGTTCTACAGTTAACGCAGTCGTCTCCACACATTCTAAGTTTTATTTGAGTGTTACTGATAATTTCTTCTCTGTTATTTATATATAAATAATAACAAAAGTGGAACAAGCACCCAGCCTTGAGGCACCTTCATGATGTGAACCTCAGGGGTCCCTCAGGCAAGTGTACTTGGCCCACTATTATTCCTTATTTATCGCAATGACTTAACCGATGTCATACAAGCCCCAGTAAATATTCGTCTTTTTGCAGAAGACTGTGTTATTTTTAACAAAATTAATACAGTTGAAGACTAATTCTTGCTTAGTGCAGCCTTAAAAAGTATATTTAGGTGGAGCAATAAATGGGGCATGAAACTAAATTCTTCTGAGTCTGTGCTCCTGCGTATAACTAAAAAAAAAACTACCCCAGAAGTCTTCATACTCTATTGGCCAAGTCTGATTGATTGAAGTTAAGGAGTACAAATATCTTGGAGTTACCATTACTAACAGCCTCAACTGGAGCACCCACATTTCTAACACCGCCTCTTCAGCTTTCAGAAAATTATGTCTACTTCTACACAAGCTTAAACATGCATCACATGATGTGAAAACTTTAGCCTATACCACTTTTATCAGACCCAAGTTAGAATACACCTGCATTATTTGGGATCCTTTCACCAAAACCAATATTAATTATCTTGAAAGAATACAGAGAAAAGCCATGCGAATCATTTTTTCTAAATACAGCCGCGAGGATTCTGTAACTGATCTTATACCTTCTAACGGTTTTCACACACTTCAAATGAGCCGTAAAATATCCCGTCTGAAACTCCTCCATTCTTTGTTAAATCGTAAGTTTTTTACAGATCCCAGTCCTTACATAACCATTTCTGAGACTAGGAAAACCTGTCATTCCCATCCCCTCACACTCTCCCATTATGCTGCCAGATCTAAACTCTTTAAATATTCTTTTTTTCCCCGCACCATAGAGAAATGGAACCTAATGCCTTTTGATCATCTGGACTCGACTGAATCAATACAGAATTACTTCTTCACTATTTCGTAATTATATTTTATTTAGAGTTGTTTTTTATCTTTACCTGACTTGTTTATGATACTCAATTCTGCTTGGTACATGTATTTATGTTGTACCCTGCCCCTCCTGCATGGGCCACATGGCCTGCAGTATTTTGTAAATAAAAAATAAAAAAAATGTACATCAGATGACTTCACGTGGTCATCCATTAGAAATTTTGAGCGCTACAGCAAGTAATCTGTTATCTAATCAAGCAGCTTGTTGTCACCAAAAAAATTTGTGAAAACGCTAAATGTTTAGCATGGCAAACCATGTTAAAGACCTACAAATAGTCAGTAAATGTGACACCAACCTGTTTCTGGTGTTGAGGTAAGAAGCAATGTCGTGCGTAAATTTAAACAACTGTTTAACTGTAGAATAGCCAGCACGAAAGCTGTGCTGATGAGATCGTGAAAGAATATTGTATTGTGTGCATTTAGGTATTATACAATTTACTTCTTAATAATATACTCTAAAGCTTTAGAGCTGGTAGAAGGCAAAGTATTAACCAATATTTTGGTATTATTTTCTTGTTTCAGACTTAAATACGGGCACGATGTTTTCTAATTTTCATAGCAGGGGGACTGCTGCAGAGATAATTGATATTTCAAATTTTATAGTAAAATAGCACACCATTCTGAATACCACTTTAGTGACATATTTGGAATACTGTTTGGGTCTGACCATTTTGAAACCTCAAGATTTAGTTTCAGGTTATGCACTCCAGAGGAACTTAGTTCCAGATGAGAAAGAGCGGGTATACATATACTTTGCTGCATGCGAAAAATGAGGGAGTGATGCCGTTATCAGTGCAAAACCAGATTTGAAGTAATTATTAATGGCATTTTCTGCAGCTCCAGGACTAAAGGAGGATTGGTCATCAAGAATAAACCATGAGGCAATAGACAATGCAAGACTAATCGACCTTAAACTATGGATAGATTTTTTTTCTTAAAAGTAGCGAAGATGTTGTTAAAGTAGCACTTCTTAACCTCTTTCATTCTAGGTTCTAATTTACTTGTCAATGCTTAAAATGAGAAAGCATTATCAATGATGATTCTTACATAAACATTCTATGCTATAAAAGAAATTAATTATATATTTACGGTACCATGTGTGTGTTCGGTTGTAATATATTTTGGGGCACATACCGTATTTACTCGCGTAAAGAACTCACCTTTTTTTTTTTTTTCCAGAAAAGTTGTTGCCAATTTAGGAAGAGGGTTCACTACGCGGGCGAAAAAAAGTCACGGGAGTTATAACAGCGAAAATTTCGAGTGACGACATTGCTTGTTTTGACCCGTGAAATGCGCAACAAATTTTTTTTAGCCCCAAGCTCTTTTTGTTTTGTCTCGTAATGAAAGTGCATGGATTGACTCCGAAGTGTCGCCCAGCCACTTGGTTTTAATGCTCCAGTGCATGCTGTTAGTAACCAGCCGTGTAGCTAGCGTACCGGCTGAACGCTCCCTGCGCAGCAAGTGTCCCAACTAAGTGTACAATGACAAACCCAACAACGAAAACGCAGTGTCGGATGGCGGCACACAAACATGTTGCGCATGCACAACGCGCCGTCGGTGTGGTGGGTGCCGTTGCGCTTTGCATAGGTCTGAGGTGGTGAGTGCAGCAAGCGCGCGGCGTGTTCCATGACGCAGCGCGTGCGCCATTTTTAATGCCACGCGCTTTGTCTTTATGCCGCTGTGTTTGCGTGGCACTATCAGCAAAGAGGTTTCTCCTGCATTCGACAGATGGCGCTTTGTCGTACGAGGTACGACTTTCAAATTTTAATTGATGTCGTCCGCGTTCGCGCTGCTTGCAACTATATAAAATTTATTTATTTATTTTTACATACTTATTTATTTATTTTCAAATTTTTGCAGTCTGATTACAGGGCTACCGCAGGAAAGGGTACAGAGCAGTAAAAATACAAGAAAGAAACTGCGAATAATTGAAATAAATACCAACAATGACAGATCAAATAATTGTGAAAAATGCTGTAAAGATAATTACACAAACATTGCAAAGCTCGAAGACGTCTTTTAGTGCCTTCAAAAATTCATCTTTTTCTAATTAGCGAATGTCACCTGGTATGGTATTCCACATTTCAATACATTGGGGAAAAAAAGTGTAATTGAAGAAGTCTGTGTGATGATGAAACACGTTGAGTGTATGAGATGTTGAGTGTACGGCTGTTTCTGGTGAATGTTGTTTTAGCAGGGGTTATGTAGTTGTTGTGCGATGAATATTGCGGCGAATTGAAAAAAAAGTGGAAAAGTTTGAGAGACTTTATGTCACATATTTTAGAAAGTGAAGCTAAACTAAAGTGCGTTAGGTGGGATGTTGGTGAGAAATTGCAGTCATAGCATTTATATATGAAACGAATGGCTTTTTTCTGGATGTATTCAATGCATTTTATGTCACCGATTCTGTATAGGTACCATACAGTGGCGCCATATTCAAGTACAGTGAAATCTCGGTAGAATGAATCACATATTAATGAACTTTTCAGATTAACAAACTTTTAAAAAATCCCGTGCCAACTGCTAATAGTTTCTTTGTGAAGTTATTTCACTACTACGTATTTGAACAAAATACCGAACATTTCAGAATAATGAGCACTAATTTAGTTCTGGATTATATTAACAATGCCTCACTACAGCAAACTCATGTTCTGAAATCCATCCGTAGGGAC